TGAACATCCCAAACCGTACACTCACTATCAAGACAATAGGAGTCAACCGCTAAGGCATGTCTATTTGAAGCAATCCGAAAAAGTCTAGGGAATATGAGAGCGAGAGGGCGATCACCACACTATGCATCCTCCCAAAAACTAATGGACTTATCATCCTTAACTTAAAATCTGATGTGTTTGGAAAATTGATTCCATCCCTTACGGATGAAAACCCCAACTCCACTTGGAGCTCTCACCACAGAGGAACACTAACCTCCACGTGCTACCCCAAACCTGCATGCAATCGCCCTTTTCCAAATCTCCACAGCAACTTTCCCAAAAGAGCCTTATTGAAATGCACCATTCTTCTGAATCGGAGTGCAGGCCCTCTCCAAACTAACCAAGTGAAACTTAAACTCCTCCCCTTTATTGCCCCACAAGAAGTTTCGTTGCGATCTTTTAATCTTCTTAGCCACTGAAGACTGAGGGAATCTAGAAAATAGAAAGGAAATAAGTAGGAAGACAAGATAGAGTGCTCTTTATAAGAACAACCCTCCTGCCTTTAGAAATATACTGCTTCTTCCAACCGGTCAATCTTTATAAAGATACTGCTACCCACTCTTCTAGAAGAAGTCCCAAGCGGCATACCCAAATAGGAAATGGAAAGAGAACCAACACTACACCTCAAGTTTGGGCTAAGGTGGGAATCTCAGGAACCTTCCCAACCGGAACTATAACACTCTTACCCACATTCACCTTCAAAGTAGAAACAATTTGAAACCAAGTCAAAACACACCTCAGTTCATCTGAGACACGTCCGCATCACAGAAAACGGAAGTGTCATCCGTAAACATCAAATGAGAGATCTCCAACTGACTAACAACTTTCCTTCCCACCCTAAAACCTCTCAAAAAAACCCAAATCTATTGCCCTTAAATCATCATTCTACTAAAAGCCTCCATCACAATAAGGAACAAAAAGGGGGAAAGCAGATCCCCTATCTTAACAGTTAACCCCCTCGAACTGCCAAAGAAGCCCGTCGGAACTCCATTCACAGGGACCGAGAAACGAGCACTAGAAATACAGAACTCAATCCATTTCCTCCATCTCTCGCTAAATCCCATCCTCTTTAGAATATAGAGGAGGAAACTCCAACTAACATGATCGTATGCCTTCTCGATATCCAACTTGCACATGACCCTGGAATCTCGGCATTTTGTTTAGAGTCAACACACTCACCAGCAATAAGCACAGAATCTAAAATCTGATGACCTCCAAAAAACGCATTTTGAGACTCCAAAATGACCCCATCCAAAACAGCCCTTAATTTCAGAGCCTGGACCTTTGTAATTAGTTTATAGAAACACCCCACCAAACTAATAGGTATAAAGTCCTTCACATCAGTCGTTCTTCCCTTTTTTTGGAATGAGGGCAATAAACGTGGCATTCAGGCTTCTCTCAAAACGTCCCTAGTGATGAAAAGCATGAAAAGTGCCCATCACCTCCCCCTTAACAACCTCCCAGCTTGAGAAGGAATCTCATAGAAAAATCAACGGGGTTCGGAGCTTTGTCCCTGTTACAACTCTTCAACGCCTTTAACACTTCTTCAAAAAAAGGCCTTTCCAACCCATCTCTATCTTCCCCTGAAATAGCGTCAAAATGGAGTCCTCCAAGCAAAGGACGCCAACTCGACGTTTCGGTGAACAACTTCTGGTAAAAAGAGACAATCCCTCCACAAACCTCCTCCAGACAAAAGCATCCTATCTACCACAATCCTCCCAATATGGTTACCTCTTCTGTGGGCATTTGTAAGCCAATGAAAGGATTTAGTTTTTCTATCCCCTCCTTCAACCAATGAAGCATGGTTTCTTAATGATGGGTGAATGATCTGTTCATCATCCTTGCTTTATTGTATTGAGTTAGTAGCTTCTAATTGAAGAATACTGGAAAATGTTCTACAAGTAATCATATCATTACTTTTCTTTTTTCATTTTTAAACATTAAAATTTTACATCATCAGTTTTCCTATTGTTCAGATTCATAAGAGATAGGGAGAGAGAGAGAGGGGGATAGAGAGAGATGTATATTGTGTATCTGATAAGTGCTTAAATGTTACACATTTCAGCACCTAAGCTAGGGTATTTCAGTCTTTGCATCTATCTTAATTTCATGTTTTAGTCTTAATTTATGTTTTTATGTATTTGATGGCAATAAAGTTAAAATGAGCTAAGAACGGTCCATTAAAGCCTTTTCAGAGTCAAGCAAAGACATTCAGAAAAAGTTCAGAAAATGGCAAAAAGAGGTCGCAGCCCATTGCTCGTATAGTGTGTTTATTCTTCAAAAGCAGTCAATCAACCAATTAGCTCGGGGCCAAAATGGAGCTAAATAAGGGTTAAAGGAAATTTTCAACTTTGGGGGATCAATCCCCCAGGGTGGGGGATTGATTCCCCACTATTCACAGAACTAAAAATGCCTTTTGGGGATCGATCCCCAAGGCTATAGGATCGATCCCCCAGCACCTGGCAGCATTGTGGGATTGATGTTTACCTGGCTACAGGATTTTGTCTTTTGGGCTTATTTTTGTAACTTGTAGGCTTTAATAGGGTTTGTTATTTAAGGCCCAGTGAACCATTAGTTTAGGATTAGTTATTATTTTATTTTAGGGAGTTATTATTTTTTGATTATTACATTTGATTTTTTTCTGTAAGATATAACGTTCTCTCTAGAAAAAAGGGAAGAGGCTAGGGTTTCAAGAAATTTTACAAGCTCTCTGTCTACAGTTGAAGGAAGAAGAAGAAGGAGCCAAAAGATGGAGATGGGGCTTGTTGACACCATGATCATCTCCTCCATGAGCTAGTTCTTCACTTAGGGCTCCTAAGTTCATGTAACCTAAACCTTTGTATTTCTTTTCTTGGGGAATTAATATGTTGTAATTAAATGTATGGCCTTGTGATTTCTTTATATAGAAACGCTTGATTTGACAAATTAGGGCTTGTAAGGATAAATTCTTCCATTGAAATCTCTAGTTGATTGTATGCCTATGTATAATTAATTAGGGATTTTATTCTTCATTAGATGATTTAAACTTAATTCTTTCATTAATTCTATATGTAATTTGCATGTCTATATGTGATTAGTTTGGAATTATATTCTACACTAGATACTTCTTATAGTCGTGTTTAGTGATGGCCATAGCATGATACTTAGTTGATATAATTGTCAATTAATTTGATGGATAAAGGCTTAATCTTGATAGGTTGTTCTACAAATTAGCTTACTTGTCATTAGTTAATTGTAGTAAAGTAGGCAATTTGTGCTTGATTATGTTAATCAATACTTCTAATTACAATTAGTATTATCCTCTTGATCGATGTGTGCTCTTATCGGATATATTTGTGAATGTGTATGGTGGGTTATGACGTAGTCTTAAATGGGTTCTACACTTTAGTTTAATTGTCATTAGGTAGACAATTCATTCTTGATGTTGATAATTTATGCTTACAATTGTGATTTATGATGATAATGTGACCACATTTATAATTACACTATTGAATTCCCCATTAATTAAAAGCATATGGTTAATTGCATGAGCTTAGTGGTGAATCCTAACCCTAAGACTCTCTTCCTATCTCTTTAATTCTTAGTTTAATTTACTTGCATTGCCATTTTCATTTCCATGTTTTCAATTGAACTCTAGTTTAATCACTTCACCAAAAAACTCTCTCTCTCTCTCTTGTGCAATCTCATTAGCACAAAAATCAAGTTTAATCCCAACACGTGTTCAATCCCTTAGGAACGATCCCTTCTCACTTCATACTTGACGGTATAAGTGTTAAGTGGCTTTTATATAAATTTAAAGTATGATGCCCATTTGACACCATTTCCAAAACCAAAGTGTTGTGCATTATTTTATGCACACGCTCGGGTCGCATTATAGTTTTGACGCCGTTGCCGGGGATTGACGGTTTAGTTGGAATTGAATTAGGCATTAGGACTAATTTGATTGTTTTCTTTAAATTACTATTTTCTTACTAATCCCTCTTGTTCAATTAGGTGCTTGAAAAGAAGAGGAGCAAGCATTGGATCTTGGCACCATTGTGACATTGTTGTTACGGACTTTCGTGAGCTTCCTTGAATTTCTTTTACTATAATTGTTCAATTTTCTACATGCTTGCGAGATAGCCCTTGTCGAGGCTATCACATTGTTTAAATTTTTGTCCAAGCATAAGCCCAAAAGGAGGCTATTACTTTCTTGATACAAAGCATCGGCCCGTGTGGAGGCAATTTAATTTAGTGCATTGATGTAACATGGGAGCATGGGAACATCGTATGTGGAGGTGGTGAATTGTTGTTAATTGTTGTTGTGGTTTGTTGTGAAGTTATTGTGGTTTAATCTTGAATCATTCATTCAGCGTTAGGAGGTAGTTATAAGAGAATTTTTCCCATTCTTGATTATCCTACACTTAATGGAAAACCAATTCTAAAATCTAGGGCATATAGATAATCTAGGTGAGTATCACCCTCTTAATGGGCATCCACCTCAAGGTGTGCATCCACCCTTGGGAATTCCGTATCCTAATGTGTTTCCACAACCCAATCAAATGCAACAACCTCCAATAATTCCAATCCATCCTCAAGATCATGTAGTGTATCCCCCCAATCCTCGATTATCTCTTCGGGATCACTACACTCCCAATGAATACAATGCACCAACATACATCAGGTTGCCAAACTTTCGGGCAGACCATTATGAAATCAAGCCCGCAATCATCCAAATGTGCCCCTTTTTCTATGGGTTGAGCAATGAAGAATCACATAAACATGTGGATGAGTTTTTGGAAGTTTGTTCAACTGTGAAATCACGGATCTTCCGGAAGAAGTCTTAAAAATGAAGCTTTTCCCTTTTATTCTTCGGGAAAAGGCTAAATATTGGTTTAACAACTTGAGGGCAAATTCAATCACATCTTGGGCTCAACTATAATGTGAATTCCTAACAAAATTTTACCCCACAAGTAGAACCGATGCTATGAGAGCTTATATCCATGAATTCTCCCAAAACAAAGGAGAACCTTTGCAGGAAGCATGGGAGCGTTTGAACGATTTGTTATAGAAATGTCCACATTACGACATTCCTAAGTGGCAATTAGTTCGTTGCTTCTATGAAAGCTTATCCGATACCCAAAAAGGTATGGTTGATGCTTCATGTGGAGGAGCCTATTTGGATAAAAATGAAGACGATGAGTGGCATCTTTTTGATCACATGAGCGAAAATTCAATGCATCGTTCTTCATCGTCCCGATTTGGCCAAAATTTAAATGAAGGAGGGAAGAAAGCATCCAATCTTTCTCAAGTGGAGAGTTCCATGGAGATTGCCGCACATGTTAACACTCTTACTTAAAGGTTTGATAAATTCCTTTTGAGCCAAAAGCAGGCAATTCAATCATCCAACTCTTTCCATTCTCAAAGTGTGATGTGCATGACTTGCTCTAGTTATACTCACAATACTTTCAATTGTCCTCTTGGACAAAGTTTTCCGAGTGAGTATCAAGAATAAGTCAATGCCGTTTTCATTCATCCGAGAAGTAATCCAAATTCCAACTCCTACAATTCCAGATGGAGTGATCCTAACTTTTCTTGGAGAAATCAAGGAGGAGGTATCATTCCTCCTCTTCTTCAAAATTCCCAAGAAAAGTATGTGCCTCCCCACCTGCGAATTACAAAGTCTCAAGCATACCACTCTCCATCTTATCCTCCTCCAAATGTGAATGAACTCTCTAATTCTCAATCTTCAAATCATCAATCTTACTCTCATCCATCTTAAGAGCCTCTAAGGAATCCCACTTTTAAGGACAAGGTTTTAGAAGCTTTGGATGATCTTCGAAAGGAGAATCAAGTGTTTCATTCGCATTCTCAATCAATTACAAAGCTTAAAGCTCAAATTGGGCAGATGGTTCAATCAATGAAAGGGAAAGGGCCTATGCAACCCATGCTTAACCAAAAGCCATACTCTATTTCCACCTTGAGGAGTGGGAGAAAATTTAATAACAAAGTTGAGAGACCTAGTGAAGTTAGTGTTCCGGTGCAACCAAGTGTTAGCCCATTTACCATTCCCAATTCCATTCCTACTTCACTAGGGGCAAGTGGTCCCATTAAGGAGCCAATTCCGTCATCATCATCTTCCTCCCATGTAGAAAAGCCTTATGAGCCAAAAGCTCCATTTCCTCAAGCTTTAAACTCCACTCCATTTTCGAGACAAGAAGGAAAAATTCATAACATGATGGAAGTTTTTAAATAAGTTAAAATCAACCTTCCTCTTCTTGATGCTATTCGACAAATTCCATTATATGCCAAATTCTTGAAGGACTTGTGTACTCAAAAGAGGAAGAACAAGGGACCAAGCCCAAAAAAAGTGCTTCTCACGGAGCAAGTGAGCTCTATCACTAAGCTTAACACCCCACCTAAGTTCAAAGACCCTGGCGCGCCAACCATCTCTTGTACCATAGGGAACCACGAGGTCAAAAGGGCTCTTCTTGACTTAAGGGCTAGCGTTAACATTATTCCTTACTCCGTGTATCTTTAATTAGGTTTGGGAAACCTTATGCCAACTTCGGTGGTTATTCAACTCGCCGATAGGTCTACAAAACAACCAAGGGGAATTGTTGAGGACATCCTCATCAAAGTTGACAAATTTTATTTCCCGATTGATTTTATTGTGCTAGACATTGAGCCGGTTCCCAATCCTACCACTCACATTCCCATCGTCTTAGGAAGACCATTCCTTGCCACCGCTAATGCGACCATCAATTGTAGGTCTGGTATTATGGATATCTCTTTGGCAATATGATGGTTAAGCTTAATGTTTTCAACACAAGCCAACATTCCATCGATGAAGGTGAGTGTTTCATGGTGAATGTATTGGATGAACTCATTGAGAAGCCCCTTCCTTCTATGCTCTCAAAGGACCTCTTGCGGAGTGCCTTTCTCACTTCAATATGGACAAATTTGACATTGAAAATTCCATATATGAAGTGAATTCTCTGATGGACTTCGTGGCTACCTTGGATTTTCTGCCATGGAAATATTCAAAGGAACCTCTTCCTCCACTTTCTAGTATTCCACCTGCTCCATTCCTCAATTCTACATTAATATATGAGGACATTCCTTGTAATTTTGAGCATAAAGTTATTATGGTGCCTTTGGTAAGTGAGGAGAAGGTCATTCATTTAAAAATAGAGGAAAATGATGAAGAGATTTAAGTCTTTTAAACATCCTATTGTGTTTTTGAAAGACACCACCTTGCCAAATACCAATGGAAGCAATTCTTCAAATATGCTTCAAGAGCATCCCAAGGTTGCAAGGCCTACCAATGTTTGTTTTGTCTTTAAGACCGTGGATGAAAGGAAACAAATCACATCTTCCATTATTCATTTTCAAATCATTCTTTTGGGAGATGTATATATTATTGTGAGAGAAGATCCATTGGGGAAAATAGATAAACGGATCAATGAAGATGTTTTCTATTCAGTTTTTAATTCTTTTGACTAGTGAGTCGCCCCAACGTCTTGCTAGAGACGTTAAACACTAGTTGTATCGATTTTTCCTTCGTTGCATGTTAATTTACATTTTATTATTATTTTATTTTATTTTTTATTTTTCCTTTTGTATATTTTTGCATTTTTAAATTCAAAAAGAAAAAAAATAAAGATAAAAAATAAAAAATAAAAAATTTGTAAATAGGTAGTGTAGGTTGGTGTTTGATTTTATTTCCCTTTTATTATTATTGTTATTATTATTATTTTTTTTATTATTTTTATGTATATTTCATTTTGGTGTATATATTTCATTTTAGTTTTGCTTAATTCAAATAATAATAATAATAATAATAAGTGTAAAAAAAAAACATTACTAGTTCGTATAGGTTGCTTTGTGATTTTATTTATTTTTATTATTACTATTTATTTTTATTTTTATTTTTATTTTGTTTTATTTATATTTTATTTTAGTATATATATTCTTCTTAGTTTTGCTTAAAATAATAAAAATAAAAAAAATAATAGGAGATCCATCCCATGCTTTGGCAGGGACTAACACAAAAAAAAAAAACCCAAGTGGATCAATCCCCCAATCGTGGGGATCAATCCCCTTTCACTTTCTCACATTACTCAGTGTGAAGGGAAATTTTATTGCATACAATTAACTATCCCTCCCTTAGGGTGCTCGAGCCCCTTAGCTTGCCCTACCCTCATGCTTCCATGCCCAAGCAAAATTCTGCTTCTTTTCTCAAAAATCTCTGAACCCAATTTCATCGTCCAACCCTCACTGTTCGCACTTCTCTTCCGCGGCATCGAAGGTATTAAATTCTGGCGCCATAGTTCTCGTTCTTTCTCCGGCCGCCGGCTTAAGACTTGGCCTGTGTTCCGCCCTTTATTCTTCTGACGTCGCCGCTGGTTCTTTTCCGGCTATTGGGCTGGGTTCCTTTCGCCGGTTTCTAGGTCTCGCCGGCGATTACGGCTGGTTATTCTCCAGCGCCGACGGCCGTGCTTCTCTGATCGCGGCTGTTCTTATCTGGTCGTTCCTGGGTTGCCGTTTTCTTCCGGCGAGCTTGTGAATCGTGGTTCTTATCCAGCGATTCGCGGCTGGGTTCGTCAGCAATTCGCGGCTGTTCATCTTCCGGCATCGCGGCTATATCTCTCCGGCGCTTTCGGCTGGGATCTTCGCCGGCGAGTTTGCAGGTTCATTCCGGCCTTGTTTCATTCTCCAGCGATTTGGATTGGGTCTTCCGGCGTTGTGCAGCGATTCCGGCTGGATTTTTTTCTGATTCCGGCTGGTTTCTTCTCCGATTCTGGCTGGGTTTTCTACGGCCATGATTTGAGACTCGGTTCTTCGCTTCGCTTTGGGTTCTTCGACGTTAAACGCTGAAATTTTAGACGAGTGGGTTCTCTCCGGTGATTGGGGCTGAGTCGCGGCTGGGTTCGTCGGCGATTACGGCTTCGCTGCTCTCCGTCTTCCATTTGATAAACAAAAAAATAAATAAATAAATAATAAAAAACAAAATTAAATAACAGAAAAAAAATAATAAAAAAAATTCAATAAAAAAAAGATACATAACAAAAAAATAAAAAAAATACATAAAAAATTAAATAATAAAAAAATTAAATAATCAATTAAATAAAAAAACTTAAATAATAATAATAATAATAAATAACAATGAAATAAAAAAAATTAATAATAATTAAAAAAATAACCAATTCAGTAGATTTTGCAGTAGGGTTTTTATTTATTTATTTTAAATAAATAACAAAATAAAAATAAAAATAAAAATTTCAAAGTAACATTCCGTCTTGTTAGAGATGTTAAATTTAGTTCATTTTTTATTTATTTTTTTAGGTTGTATATACATGTTCTTTTTCTTTGTTTCTTTTAAAATAAAAAATAAACAATAAAAAAAACAAACAAAATAAAATAAAATAAATTTTTTTTTCAAAAATATGTGTTACCAGTATGCCTTTATGACTGGTTATGAATGTTTTCAGATTTTATCAAGGGTTTCATCTCATATTTCTTTGCATTGTGTTATATATTATTTTGAACTGTATGTATTGCTTATCCCATGTGATATTTGATATGAGAATTTTGAACTGTATGCATTGCTTATCCTATGTGATATTTGATGTGAGTTTGCTAGTATGGTTATACAGCTAAGTTTTTGCATCCAAGTTTGGGGGAGACATCTTTCCTACTGGATCATTGCCGGACTTCATAGACTTTGCCATCACGGTATACTCTTTTCATTATTTTTCATTATTCTCATTGCACATTGAGGACAATGTACAGTTTAAGTTGAGGGGTAAGGTCATCATGATTCATTCTATTTTAAATTGAGTTTTAAATGCATGATGAGATTTGAGATGTATTTGGCAATGATTTCGAACTTTTGAAGCATAGTGCCTTTGAAAAATAAGTTGTTAGAGTCTAATACTTCTTGTATGCTTTAGGATGCCATTTAGGAGTAAATTTTTAATTTTTGATATCATGTTTGCTCTTGTGGTACACATCATCTTATTGGTTGAAAATGATTTGAGAGTTGATTCTAGAATTCTACACTTGCACTTGCGCACCCTAGCATTCAATTTGTGGGGTACATATTTAGTTGATTATTGTCTTGGTTTATCCTAATTGAGCTAATATGCTTTGAAAACTTTCATTCTTGATAAAATGACCTTGCAAAGAAAAGAAATAAAAGCACTTACCAAAGGTGAAGAACGAAAAAAAAAAAAAAATAATAATAATAATAAATTGCATTCTTTCAACATGTCAACTGATTAAAAAGGAAAACAAGGAAGGAATGTAAGATGTATGATTAATTTGAGTTCGTAGCCTAGCCATTCTGAGTCATTACACCTTTAGGAGTGTTTTTACACTTAACGCCCTAAGACCATCTGGCTTGGGAGTCGTTGGCTCAAAGCTTGTTACATGGGGTGATTAGAGAGCTTAAGGAACTTGGACATTACACATGGTCATACATATTAAAAAAAAAACAGAAAATCAATTAAAAAAAAATGTTTGATTGAATAACAAGGTTCATTCAATGTCTCGATGTCTGGTACTATATTTGTATGCTAGTTTGAGGGTAAGGCTATGCCATTACATTGATTTGCTAGGATATCAACACATTTTGATGCCGGTTCACTCAAAAAGAATGATAGAATTGATTCAATTTGCATAATTAACTTGCTTGGTGTGTGGCGGATCATTTTTGCTTACATGATGTTGAAATGTTGAGAATAGCTTAGAAATGGCAAAAATTTGCAAACCTGAAGTAGTCTACTTTCAACACTTGTTTGATATGTGTCGTTACTTTTCAAGTAAGAAAGAGCTGTTGATGTTTGTGGGTACCATGTCTGAAAACCCTCACGAGACTTCACTCGTCCACGAGATGATCATGATGTTTAAAAGGCTTGTTGCATATGCTAAATGCAACCGTGATCCCTACGAAAGTGGTGTTATCTTTATTTGCTTTATTAGTTCATAGTTGTATATATGTTTGTTTCATTTCTATGTTGTAGTTCATTGCTAGGGACTAGCAATATCTAAGTTTGGGGCATGATAAGTGCTTAAATGTTGCACATTTCAGCACCTAAGCTAAGGTATTTTAGTCTTTGCATCTATCTTAATTTCATGTTTTAATCTTAATTTATGTTTATGTGTATTTGAGGGCAATAAAGTTAAAATGAGTTAAGAACGGTTCATTAAAGCCTTTTTGGAGTTAAGCAAAGACATTCAGAAAAAGTTCAGAAAATGGTAAAAATAGGTCGTATAGTGTGTTTATTATTCAAAAGCAGTCAATCTCGGGCCTTTGATGATGTTCCCAAAGATGAAGAAGCAAACCAATTAGCTCGGGGTCAAAATAGAGCTAAATAAGGGTTAAAGGAAATTTCCAACTTCGGGGGATCAATCCCCACTATTCACAGAACTAAAAATGCCTTTTTGGGATCGATCCCCAAGGCTGTAGGATCGATCCCCCAGCACCTGGCAGCATTGCAGGATTGATGTTTACCTGGCTACGGGATTTTGTCTTTTGGGCTTATTTTTGTAACTTGTGGGCTTTAATAGGGTTTGTTACTTAATGCCCAGTGAATTATTAGTTTAGGATTAGTTATTATTTTATTTAAAGGAGTTATTATTTTTTGATTATTACATTTGATTTTTTTCTATAAGATATAACGTTCTCTTTAGAAAAAAGGGAAGAGGCGAGGGTTTCAAGAAATTTTACAGGCTCTCTGTCTACAATTAAAAGAGGAAGAAGAAGGAGCCAAAAGATGGAGATGGAGCTTGTTGATACCATGATCATCTCCTCCAGGAGCTAGTTCTTCACTTAGAGCTTGGATGAGCCCTAAGTTCATGTAACCTAAGCCTTTGTATTTCTTTTCTTAGGGAATTAATATGTTGTAATTAAATGTATGACCTTGTGATTTCTTTATATAGACACGCTTGATTTGACAAATTAGTGCTTGTATTGATAAATTATTCCATTGAAATCTCTAGTTGATTGTATGTTTATGTATAATTAATTAGGGATTTTATTCATCATTAGATAATTTAAACTTAATTCTTTCATTAATTCTATATGTAATTTGCATGTCTATATGTGATTACTTTGGAATTATATTCTACATTAGATACTTCTTGTAGTTGTGTTTAGTGATGGTCATAGCATGATACTTAGTTGATACAATTGTTAATTAATTTGATGGATAAAGGCTTAATCTTGATGGGTTGTTTTACAAATTAGGTTACTTGTCATTAGTTAATTGTAGTAAAGTAGGCAATTTATGCTTGATTATGTTAATCTATACTTCTAATTACAATTAGTATTATCCTCTTGATTGATGTGTGCTCTTATCGGATATATTTGTGAATGTGTATGGTGGGTTATGATGTAGTCTTGAATGGGTTCTACACTTTAGTTTAATTGTCATTAGGTAGACAATTCATTCTTGATGTTGATAATCTATGCTTACAATTGTGATTTGTGATGATAATGTGACCACATCTATAATTACATTAATGAATTCCCCATTAATTGAAAGCATATGGTTAATTGCATGAGCTTAGTGGTGAATCCTAACCCTAAGACTCTCTTCCTATCTCTTTAATTCTTAGTTTAATTTACTTGCATTGTCATTTTCATTTCCATGTTTTCAATTGAACTCTAGTTTAATCACTTCACCAAAAAAACTCTCTCTCTCTCTCTCTCTCTCTTGTGCAATCTCATTAGCACAAAAATCAAGTTTAATCCCAACACGTGTTCAATCCCTTAGGAACGATCCCTTCTCACTTCATACTTGATGGTATAAGTGTTAAGTGGCTTTTATATAAATTTAAAGTATGATTCCCGTTTGACACCATTTCCAAAACCAAAGTGTTGTGCATTATTTTGTGCACACGCTCAGGTCGCATCAGTATCTTACTTCAGCCCTCTAAAAACGGCTTATATAAAGAACAAGGGTTAGACACCCTAATTACACAATTACACAATAACCCTAATTACTATGGGTAATTACATAATAATCGATTATGACCCATCATTATAAAGGATATACATTCTAACACTTCCCCTTAAGCTGAAGAATATATATCAAATAATCCCAGCTTGGAATAGATAGTCCTTAACCGATTATGACCCAGTGCTTTGGTAAACATATCAGCTAGTTGATCTTCAGACTTCACAAATGGAGTAGAGATGCTACCACTTAATATTTTTTCTCGAGTAAAATGACAATCAACCTCAATATGTTTGGTTCTCTCATGAAACACAGGATTCGATGCAATATGAATTGCTGCTTGGTTATCGCAGAACAGTGGAGTAGAAGTTTCAACTGTCAACCCAAGTTCTTTTAGAAGATTTTGTATCCATGTCAACTCACTAGTGGTATGTGCCATTGCCCTGTACTCAGCTTCAGCATTAGACCGAGCTACCACCATTTGCTTTTTACTTTTCCACGTAACAAGATTTTCTCCTACAAATGTACAGTAGCCTGTAGTAGATCTCCTATCTGAAGGAGAACCAGCCCAGCCAGCATCTGTAAAACCTTCCACCCTGAGATGACCATTTGATTTGTATAGTAACCCAAAACCTGGAGCTCGCTTGAGATATCGGATAATCCGAAGAACAACAATCCAATGTGGTATTCTAGGAGCTCCCATAAACTGACTTATAATGCTAACTACATATGAAATATCAGGTCGAGTGATAGTGAGGTAAATTAATTTCCCAACAAGGCGACGAAATCTGTCTGGGTCATTAAATAGATCACGCTCATCAGACACAAGTTTTGTATTTGAATCCATAGGAGCATCAATTACTGGACAACCACCTAACATACCCGTTTCTTCTAGCAAATCCAACACATATTTTCGTTAAGATAAACTTATACCTTCCTTGGATCTAGCAACTTCAATACCTAAGAAGTACTTAAGTTTACCCAAGTCTTTAGTGTGGAACCGATTTTGCAGAAATAACTTCAACTTAGCAATGCTTGCAGAATCATCACCTGTGATCACAATATTATTTACATGCACCACAAGAAAAATGAAGCCAGCTTTAGTGCGTAGGTGAAATATCGAATGATCGATCTGGCATCTGTTAAGACCAAATTCTAATGCCGCCTCAGAGAATTTCCCAAACCAAGCCCGTGGAGATTGTTTCAATCCATATAGGGCCTTTTTAAGGCGACAAACAGTGTGACGATACTCCCCTGAGCAACAAACCCAGGTGGTTGCTCTATATAAACTTCTTCAACCAAGTCATCATATAAGAAGACATTTTTGACATCCAATTGGAACAACGACCAGTTACAATTGGCAGCAATGGAAATAAGAATCCGAATAGAAGAAATCTTAGCAACAGGAGAAAAAGTCTCATCATTGTCAACACCATAAGTCTGAGTGTACCCTTTTGCCACTAGACGACCCTTCAACCGCTCAATAGACCCATCTTGAAGGTATTTAACTGTGTAGACCCACTTACAATGAACTGGTTTGGAGCCCGAAGGTAAGGGAACAAGATCCCATGTTCCATTACGATAAAGGGCATCCATTTCATCTACCATGGCTTGCCACTAACCTAAATCAGAGAGAGCATCCTGCAAAGTCTTTGGAACAAAAGTAACATATACTTTGGATAAAAACAAGATAAAGAGGATGAAATACGACGACAAGAGACAAAGTTAGAATTGGGTTGTGCAGTAACACACGACATAATACCTTTACGAAGGGCAATAGGCAAATCATTGGGTAAAGGTGTCGGATTCGAAGACTCTGAAGGAGATAGAGGGAGCAAAGTAGGCGGTCGAGGTTGTCGAGTATAAACCTGCAATGGGACAGCAGAGAGATAAGGTACGGAAACAGGAAACTGAGAGGGAACCGATGCCAGAGGTAGCTCAGAAGTAATATCGAGAGGAGTAGTAGAATCAGAAAATATGGGATAGACTCAGAAAATGTTACATTAGCACTAGTGAAATAGCGTTGGAAATGAGGACTGTAACAACGATAGCCTTTCTGAGTGCATGAATACCCAAGAAAAACACATTTAGTTGCACGAGGGTCGAGTTTATCAAGACCAGGTCCAAGGTTATGGACATAACACATACAGCCAAAGACCCGCGGAGTCAGATTAAACGATATGGAGTCAGGAAATAGAACAGAACGAGGAGATTTACCTTTTAGCACTGACAAGGGTATCCTATTAATAAGATGACATGCTGTAAGAACAACATCACTCCAAAAACATTTAGGAACATGCATATGAAATAAAAGGGCACGACAGACTTCCAGAAGATGACGATTTTTACGTTCAGCTACTCCGTTTTGTTGCGGAGTATATGTACAAGAGGATTGATGAATGATGCCTTTAGCATGAAAATAAGTCTCAAAAGGGTCTGAGAAATATTTTTTGGCATTGTCAGAACGTAAAACTTTAATAGAACACCCAAATTGAGTTTTGATTTCTTTAAGAAATATTTGAAAAATAGAAAACAACTCAGAACGATTTTTTATTAAAAATAACCAAGTCATCCGAGAATGATCATCCACAAAAGTCACAAAATAATGAAATCCATTAATAGAAATATGTTTTATTGGTCCCATACATCTGAATGAACTAATTGGAAAGGACTGGCCACACGATTATTAGCTCTTGGTTTAAAAGATACACGACAATGCTTACTAAGCTGACATGTTTCACAAGACATAGACTCAACATGACTAAGACAGGGAACTTGACGCTGCAGAACTGATAGTGAGGGATGGCCGAGACGACAGTGCCACTGGAAAGAAGACAAAGATGATTGAAGAGCCGTGGGAGATGGTGCAAGATCAAAGTAATACAAGCCACTTACTTCATGTCTCGTACCAATCCTCTTCTTCGTCTTGAGATCCTGAAAAAGACAACATACGGGATAAAATATTACAGAACAGTTAAGAGATTTAGTAGTTTTGCTAATGGACAACAAATTAAAAGGGAATTGAGAAACATATAACACAGAGAAAAAGGACATAGAAGGGGTAAGATGAACAGTTCCCAAACCTAAGGCTTTAGTTGATGATCCATTAGCAAGAGTAACACTTTGAGAGGAATGAACAGACTGAAAATCAGATAAGAGATGAGACCTACCAGTCATGTGATCGGACGCGCCAGAGTCAAGAATCCAGGGACTCTGAGTAGAGGACAAAAGATATGTAGGGCCACTACCTGATTGAGCCAAGGACCCCATGGAAGATGAGGTGGAAGTCCGTTGTTGAGACAAAAACTGAGCATACTCATCACGGGGTATTGTGACCATAACAGTCTCAACAGCCACATGTGAAGCAGTGGATATGGTAGAGAGAGAAGAATCCACATCACTAGAAGTCACTTGATGTGCATAGGAAGAAAATGACTGTTTCCCATGAAGATCCAACAGTAATTGACAGTGTGATTAGTAAGACTGCAGTGAGTGCAAATTTTTGAGTCTTTGCCTTTGCCTCGACCATGGCCAAGGCCACGACCACGACTGAAACGACCACCACCACCACCTCCACGAGAAGACTGAAAGCCACGCTGGTTTACAACTAAGGCAGAATGTTCACTGTTAGAAGGAGCAGTGACACCACTGGAAGCACTTCTTGAAGCGCCACTAGATAAAGTGGCACGTTGGAGTCTGGTTAACATATCAGGTAGAGAGGGAAGTGTAGGGCTACCTAAAATCTGTGCACGAACAGGTTCATACTCTTGTGACAATCCTGTGAGAACCCGAACAACATTAAAATCCTCACGTTGCTACTGCATGCTTTTCACATCAGAGGTGATGGGTTGATACATATTCATTTCTTCACACAGTCCCATTGCCCGTGAGAGGTATTCTTTTAAACTTTGAGTCCTTTGTTAGAGGTTAAAAAATTGTCTACACACCTCATAAACTCTGGTTATATTACCAGTACCAGAATATAACTGTTGGAGTTGGGTCCATATCTCTTTGGTAGTGTCCAGATATAACAAGTTGGAGCTAATATAAGGTTTAATACAATTCAACATTAAGGAGATGATCTGAGCATCCCTTTGTTCCCATGAACTAAAATTAGCAACACTGCTTTTGGGTTTATCTTGAACCAAATGATCGCCAAAGCCTTTGGCTTTCAAGAAAATAGCCAATGACTTGGCCCATAAAATGTAATTTTTTCCATTAAGCTTGACTGAAGTCATGGGAGGATTAAAAGATGCAGGAGATAGGAGATAGGAGATCTGAACTGGAAGCCATAGAGAAGATAAAAAAATGAACCTGGGAAAAATGCAGAATCAGAACCGAGTCGAATCTTGAACCGGGTCGGATCTGGGTAGCTGGATTGAATCTGGGTAACTGGATTGGATCAAAACCAGGTTTCTACTATCTCGGTTTTAGTAAACCAGGATTGGAATAGTGTAGCCGCGTAACCAAACAGGGCTATTCTTCTTCACAATCCCACCAACAGACTCCGACAAGCACACAGCGGCGACACCACACAACCTCCGTAACTACCGACTAAGAAAAAAGACGAATCGATGAAGCTTTACCTCTACAAACAACGATGGTAGGTGTTAGCGAGCTTGCTGACGATCTACGCGGCAACAACATAAGCGGCCAAGGGGCTTTAGATCTGAAGGCGACGAAGGAGGCTGCAGATCTGACGATGATGACTACGGGCTTCAGATCTGATGGCGACTAAGGACGATGTCGACTATAAGTGATGTTCTTAACCTACTGGCGACACGAACTTCCGTTAAGGACACCCACGACATACTCACAATTCCAGTCGCTCTCACACAAGGGCAACACACTTGTCGTTTCCCACACCCATGAATTTATACCGCTCTGATACCATGTTCAGATTCATGAGAGATAGGGAAAGAGAGAGAGAGAGATAGAGAGAGATGTATATTGTGTATCTTACTTCAGCCCTCTAAATAAGGCTTATATAAAGAACAAGGGTTAGACACCCTAATTACACAATTACACAATAACCCTAACTACTATGGGTAATTACATAATGATTGATTATGACCCAACATTATGAAGGATATACATTCTAACACCTATTAATAAATCATAATGGCACTTGTTTTGTATGTTGGTATTATCTATTCTATGTACAGGGCAATGATACTGGTAACAGTTAACTTAGTTTAATTCTTAATGCCTTCAACACTTCCTATGTTTGATATTTTATCTTTCGCTTTTATATTCATATGGTATTAAATTCATATTTTTATTCTGAATCATTTATATAAGGTAGACTGATGCTTTCTTATACACTGTTGAGGTCTGATATATCACTTGCTCCCACCATTTCTGATGGTGCATTAACATTCCCTTTAATTTACAAAGAGCAACCAAACATTGTCCGTTTTCAGCTGGTTCTTTGTTCCTATTTGATCGTAAAGTACTATGATATTTCCGTAAAGATGGTCATCGTTGGAGGAAGAAAAAGGATGGGAAAATTGTCAAAGAAGCTCACGAGAAGTTGAAGGTGTGTTGCTCATTCTTTTTTTTTTTTTTTTTTTTTCTTTTCAAGTTGATGTTTTTATTTTAGCCATAAGCAATGTAGTGAAAGGTTTCATGGTATTTCCACACCTAGCTGAGCCTCTTATCTAAGTAGTGGTGGAGTGATCTAGTTTGGGGGGCGGCTCTTCAATGCGTTCATAGTTTTTGAAACTAACTTATTATACTTGGCAATTCACTTGTAGCTTGTGTTTGAACACAAACCTTGTTCATTGACTTTTTTAAATGGACAACTATTATGGCAATACGAAATGAAAGATGGACCTTCAAGTCGGGATGTGGGTGTTGGGAAACGTGATAGTTTTAAAAACTTTTTGAGGGATTTTCATTCACAAATCTTAATTCATCATATAGAGATAAGTTTTATGCAAAAATAAAATATGATGTATCATTCAATTAATGGATTGAATACTTACATCAAAGGTCTGAGTAAACCTTTAAATCTTTCCTCTAAAGTGAATGTTCTCACTTATTGTAGATCCCTTAGCAGGAGAAAATCTCCATCTTTTTGGTAATTGTTTTGCCTTTAGGAATCACTCATAAGCCTCCATGAATGACCTTGAAAACTAGGCTTGTGAGAGCCTCCATTAGATGAGAAAGCAAACCCTAAAATCTAGAGAGAGAAAATATATTCCTTTTTCCTTCTTCCAAAAATTACACCAAAAATATATATAGACCATGTATATATATATGCAACATAAAGATAAAGAAAAGAAAACAATAAATCCTTCTTAATCTCTAATTCACATGTCTCAAATCTAATAAGATTTCAATATCAAGTTGGGCTATAAGTGAGAATCCTTTGGGCTTATTATTTTATTGGCTACAATGAATTAATAATTGGCCCGGTCCATGGACCCAATTCAATTAATTCATAAATTAATTTCTACTCCACTAAAAGAAATTAATTGAACTCTAATTAAATAATAAATAACCTCTAAGTCAATGTCGCACTTTGACCCCTCTATGCATAATTAGTTATCGGATAAATAAAGCCATCAATCTGACTACTTTATTAATATATATATTTTGGTACCTTTGATTATTTCTGGCTCGATCACAATAAAACATTTGTTTGACAAAAATAATAATTTAAATAAAGAAATATATAATAAATCATTTTGTCTAAAAACACAAGAAGACCTTCGAATTTACTTTGTGATCAACCATAATCAATACAAAATAAATATAAGTAACAATGATGCAAAAATTGAAAATATAACCCTCTAACTATTAATTACATAATTACCCAAAGTGCCGGTGTAAAGATTCCGAAGATTCTGCCGAATAAATCAAAGTAATTATTAATTAATAAAAGAGTCTATATTTCTTTCATGCTTAAAAGTCAAATGCCATGACGGTGATAGGGAGCAATTGCATACGATAGCTCTCCCAATATATCTCAACCTAATGCGGATCCAGTTCAAGTCTTAATTAATTATGAGTCCTTTCATAATTACCGACTATGAACAATTTATGATTACTATTTATATTCATGTATTGATCGCCATCACGTACATATATAAATATCTCTTGTAATCAAGTGGACCCTATCAATTCCATAATGAATTGAAACGTAATACATTGAATTCACCAATTGTATAAAGCATAAATATTTCAAATACGGCAGGAATATATGTCACTTTAATCCAAAAAGGAATTTGCTATGCTAGGGCATATAAATCCTATCAGCTCCCACTTGCCCTCATAGCCAATTCAAATTGCATCTAACTCTAATGTTATCCAAGTGATGATCAAAACTATTGATCGATAACACCTTTGTCAACGGATCAATAAAGTTGTGTTCCAATGTAATGTTCTAGCTATGAGTATATTTTCTTGCCGGACAATATCATGTAGGACATGATACTTTCCTCTCAGTGTACCTTGTTCCTCTATGGAACCTTGGGTCATTGGTTTAGACTACTTCTACACTATTATTGCAATATAGCTCGATAGGCAGGCTAGTACGCTCCACAACCTCTAAATCAGTGAGATCAAACCAAAAAAGCTTCCTTTGCTGCCTTTAAAGCTGCAATGTACTCCACCTTCAGGTTTAAGTTAGCAGTTGAAATCTGCTTAACAATCTACTGACTGATTTCCCTTCTATTAAGAGAACATCCACTAAGTCAAAAACCTCATAGTATCTACATCTGATTAAAAATCAGAATTAGCATACCTGACTAAGACCATATCATCACATCCATAAATGAGTATGAGATCATTGGTTCTCCTAAGGTACTTAATGATATTTTTCACAACTAACCAGTTATCAAGTCCATGATTGGACTAATATTTTCTGACTATCCCTACCATGTAACGGATGTCCTGTTTGGTATAGACCATGGCATATATGAGATTCCTGTAATGACCCGGATTTTCACGGATATTTTTTTTTTCCGTTGTCTTTCCTTTCTGAGTTCAGTTCAGTATCGTCTCCAGTGCTCTGGAGTGATTTTCGAGACTCTTTTCTGTGGATTGACAACTTCCTTTGAGGACCGAGTAGTTTCCACATTTTTCATTTTTTCGACACTATTCACTTTTCGTCCTTTCCCTATTTCGTCCTTTTCCCTATTTTGTCTTTTCCCCGTTTGACACTTTGTTGGTATAACCACACTTCTTGTGTTCGAAGTTGGTTTTTGACTTCATCTATCTCCATCTTAAGTGATTTCTACGAAATACGTATCTTTACTTTTGTAAGAAAGTACTCTGGTTGCTCCCGGTGTCCATAGGGGTATGGATGCAAAGTTCTTTGAAATTATTTTCTTTTCTTGGGGTGTTTTTCGTAAATATATTTTGAAGATATTTTATTTTAGGGGTTTTTAAGAAAATATTTTTGGAAGATATTTTCATTCTGGGCCATTAGTGCAGTTTTCACTTTTTGGAGGGGCTATTGTGCAATTAATGAAAGTTATTACTAAATGCCTTGTTTTGAGCTTGGATCCTCGTACGGGATTCATTTTCACTTTTCGTTGAGTCGTGTACTCTTAGAAATTCCTTCTGGTCATTGTTTTCCAGTTTTAGGGTTTCTGGCCCCTATTAGCGCCAAACTTGTTTGGAGCATAACTTTCTGTTCAGGACTCAATTTTTGACGCCGTTTCTTCCATTATTCATATTTTCTCATTTTGAATCTTTTTTGTTCACAGAGTTTTGTCATTTGAGCGCATCTGCTCAAATTTCACTTTTTCGGACCAGCCGGGGTCCGTTCGGGGCACTTTTTGAGATTTCTATAAAAGGGAGGTGAGATATTTTATTTTTTCATCTTCCCTACTCTCTTGCACGACCTAAAGCTTCCATGGCAACCCAAGGGAGGCTGCCACCTTCTCTCTCCTCTTTTGAGCTTCATTCCTTCGTCAGAACATAGAAGGGCCTTTGCGTTTAGTGTTCGTGTTGACTATGTGCTTCTTTCACCCTTATTAGAACCCATTTATGACATTCTTTGAGTTTGGGTTTGAAGTCAAGTTGTGATTTTGATGGGCCTTCTATGTGCACGGTGTAGTCCCCGACAAAACCTAGAAGTTTTGTCGGATTCAGAGCGGTTTCCATTTGGTGGCTTTTGAGATTTTCATCTCAAATTGAGGTAGGGGATGTTCTAGGCTTTTGTGTGTGTTGTATTGAGTGTTTAGCATGATTATACAACTTAATTGCATGCCTTGTATCAATTCTA